TATGTGTGTGAATATATATGTATATATGTATGTGTGATGTCTTCTAGAACAAAGAATGAAATGATAATTGCAACAATAAACAAATTTGATGCTTTTGTATTCATTTATAATGCAGAGCGTGAGATGACTATCATCATCATCAATATCATCAATCAATCATCAATTAATCAATACCAATCAATATATATATATATATATATATATAAATCTTGTAAACTGTTATTGATTGGTTAGAATTTCTTTAATATTATTCGTCAATTAACTTTGATTAAACTTTAATTTTTTTTATTTGGTTCATTTTATTTGTCATGTATTTTATTATTAAATTTTAAATATAACATTCAAGTTTTATGGGAGAAGTAACTCCATTTATCTCAACTATTTCATTTATCTTATGTATCTCAATATTGTCCAGTCTCTATTTAAAAATTCATGTATCTCATTATTAAATTTAAAATATAAAATTTAAGTTTTACGAAAGCAGTAACTTCATTTGTCTCGACTTTTTCATTTATCTCGTATCTCTCAATATTCTTCAAGCTTTATCTTTAAAAATTTATATATCTCATTATTAAATTTTAAATATAAAATTTAAGTTTTACGAAAAACAGTAACTCCATCTGTTTTAGCTTTTTCATGAAGTGACAATGAAATGAGCTTGAGTATCTGAGGAAGTTTGTTGTATCTCTTGACAAACATCTTTGTTGCTACTTGTATTGAATGATAAAAATTATATTGCACTCCACTATCACAAAATAAAATAAAAATGTATTGACTTATAAAACTTTGTCATATTGTTGATGAGTGTTTATCTATATTACTTGACTATATCTATATTATTACTTACAATTTTCTTATATCAAACCTTAACAATTTGCAAAGATTAATTCTGTCATTTTTAAGTTATTAGACATATAATTATATGCAATTTCAATGATAAAACATTTGTGTTATAATTTTTCTAACAATACGCTATAAACCTGAAATCAAAATAAAAAATATAATTATGTTGTATATATTTCAAATATAAAAAAAGTACATAATTCACATTTTCTGCATCATTTTTTAAATGAAAGGATACCTATTCAGAAGTTTTCGTGTCTTAATCATGTATGATGGAATTATCAAAAATTCAATCTTTTCAAACTCTATTTGTAATTTACTTTGAGCTTGAAAAATAAAGACAAGATGTGTATGAATGAAATATTCAAGAACAAGGAAAATGATTAAATGGAGAAACTTTTAAAAATTTAACAATTTTAAATGTGTCGATATCAATAATATCCAAGGTATTTGTTTTAAATTTTTTAAATCCAACTCGTGCACTGCATAAGAAACTGTCTAGTCTCATCAAAAAAAGGGTGTGATATAATGTGAAAAATGAAAATTTTATATTCTATATTTATATTTATTAGTTATTTTTTACTCTTCTTTTTCTAGTATTATACATATGTATATCTGATTTTCTTAGAAATACTTTTATAAATATAGATAGTTTAGATTGAAAGATGAGATGCAAATTTCTTTACAATCATACAATTTTCTCGAGATTGTAATGTATTTTTTTTCATTTATAAGCAAAACTATATATTTCAATAAGTATTTATCACATTTTTTTCAAATTGTCTTTCGTAAAGTCATATATGAGTGTGTATCATATATATTTTTCTTAAGACCAATGCCGCTATTATATTCTTGTCAGGTTCTTGTTTCTATGATTTCAGTCTTGTTTTTCTCGGGATTTTAATCTTCTCCATATCCTTCTTCAATACTTGCCTTCATACTCAATCATATCTGTCCATTCAGTTATTTATTTGATTTCATAGTGTGGGATTGCTAATTATAATATTAAAATATAAATATATGAATCATTATTATCACTTAAAGACTTTTGAAAATAAGATAATAATGTTCCTTTATGGCAATTATTAAATAAATCATATATTTATTTTAATACCATCATTACTAATCTTACATCATCAGATCAAATAAATAATTAAATAGATGGATGTAATCGAGCATGAAAGCAAGTATTGGGAGAAGACATAGAGCTGATTCAATGGAACGGTTTCCAAGTGGTGTCTCCTGATGATGGCGACTTGGTGTATATCCTGGAGCAAATCGAGATAGGATGGATTTGTATGTTCCAAGGCTTGGAGAGATAAAATGGCTGCTGGAGAAGATAGGCCATGAGTTTCACCCAGACGAGCTTGAGGATCTAGTCTGGAAAAAGAAGCTGGGCTTGAATGAATTCTTGTTCTTATGAGAGTATTGTTAGCTGTAGAACCACCGTATTGCCAGGCAAGACTAAGGATGTGTTTGGTTGGAGGTATTTAAAAGGAAAAAAAAGAGAGTCATCTCATTTGGTTAAGAAATTTTGGAGGGAGGGGAGCCAAAATAACCCCTCCCCTTCAAATTGAAGTTTTTTAGAGGTGAGCTAATTTTTTTGAGTATTTTGTCCTTATCTAATTTTTAATATTTTTAGTATACTCATAATTAAAAAAAATTTCCCTTATATTAGATTGTGCTTCACTCTCAGATCTCGACTGACCTTATTGCTCTCCCTCCAAATTGAGGTTTTTTTGAGGGGAGTTAATTTTTTTTGACTATTTTGCTCTTATCTATTTTTTAATATTCTAGGCGTACCCATAACTTAAAAAAACATCCTTTTCATATCAGATTGTGCTTTACTCCCAGACCTTGATGACCTCATTGGATTTTTTTTAAAAAAAAATAAATTTCATCATATTTATTATATATTTAAGGGTTATTTATTTTTTATAAAAGTTTGTTATCATTATAATTAATGGTTTAATTTTTTTTATTCACATATTGACAATATGATAGCATGTGAGATAATTTTTAAAAAATCATACAATTTAAATTGAAGTGTAAAATTATTTTTTATAAGGAATAATTAAAAAAATTTTAAACTAATATAGAGAATATAATAGCAAATTAGTTACCTCTCCTCCCCTTCTAAATTAAACGAAGGATCATTAAAAATCCCTCTCCTCCTCTTCCCTTCAACAAAACCAACCAATATAACACTAAAACCTTTTCTCTATCACCCTCTTCTTGAACCAAACATACACGGAGCATCTCCCATACTTCTATACATACACCCCAGTTAAGCTGCACCAAGACTAGTGTCGGTATCTGCTCGTGAAACATCTGTGAAACCCGTTGGTTGGACCTGGCTTCCCAAAAAGCATGAAGACCAAAGGCAAACAGTGTATGTTAGTGTGGTCCAAGACATCAATCTAATTGGCACGCAGAACTCGCCGGGGACGAATCCAGGATTACACGCATGGGGGGCAAGAATTGGAAAATAAAAAGACGTAGGGGGCTAAAAATTCTTGAGTTTTTTTTATACAAGTAAAAGCATACTCTCTCTATTTAAAAATATAAGACATTTTTAATCAAATTTTATTTGCATTAAACTAGTTACCTAACCCTATCTTTTCATATTTATCCCTATTAAATACCCTACAATAAATATAAAGTCATTCATCAATAGGAACACTTTTATAAAAAAGACAATGATTACACTTGACCAAAAATACCTTACATTTTTAAACATTTAACTCCTCAAAAAATGCTTTACATTTTTTAATGAAGTGAATACATATTATCAAAAGGGAAAATGAACCCCATTAGGACATTAGTTCCAATCAAGGATCATAAAATTTTAAAATCCCAATTAAGGATCATTGGGATAAAAAATGTAATTTGTCTTAAATTTCTCTAAGGAAAAAAACTTAATTATGTTGAAATCCCAATTATGTTGTTTTCACAATTTACGTTAGCAATTTTTTCATGTTGAAATAGTGAATTCTCAAGTGGCTTAGTGAATCCAACTTCATGTTAGCACATCCTAATTTTTGGGCAAGTTACTTTTTGTTAAACAATCAATTTTTAAGTAGGGTTTTATTTTTTTACAATATATATTAAAAATTTTCTCAAGTTGGGTTAATGAATTTCTAAGTAAGGTTTTATATTTTCATAATATACGTTAGTAATTTTTTAAATCGAGTTAGTTAATCCTCAAGTGACATTAGTGAATCTCTCCTCACATTAGTGAATCTCAAGGCGTTTAAAACAAACTATATTTTTTATCCCATAGTCTTTAATTGAGTTTTATAATTTTATGATCCTTAATTAAATTAATATTTTTTAAAAAATTTTTAATTGCTATTTTTTCTATTAACAAAAATATTGAAAATGTGGGGGACAATGGCCCTCCCCTTGTCCCCCTGTACATTCGTCAACTCCATTATGAAAGTACAGGGAACCATGACTTGTTTCCCATCTTTGCAGGGTCATCACTTCAACAGTACTTGTTCGTTGGCCTTGTAGGAGCCACGATAGTAAATAACAAATGCCACATAAATCACCATAAATAATTAAAACAACAAACTTCAATTTTATCCCAAAAAAATTAAAACGTAGTAATTAAACTTTGTTTTATTTTTCCAGAAACTATTATAGTTAACAGAATAATTATATTAGTTAATGGTGATTCTATTCAAATATTATTATTAAATTCAATCATTATTATAATATAATATTAAATAAATGCGTAAATATCAATTATGTAAAATATGCCCATCAAACAAGATTTTTTTTATTTTTTTCTCAAAACATGTTTTAAGCAATTTATCAAACAATTTTTTATATTTTTATTTTTTAAATATAATTTTTAAGAATAATTATATAAAATATTATTCTGAAAATATATTCTGCACAATATCAATTCTCAAAATAAATAAAAAAATAGTTCTAAAGACATCTTCCCATTATATCAAAGTCTGAAAACATATCAGAAAACAGGGGAGTGGCAAGAACAATGATGGCAAGCTTTTAGTGGGCTTCATGTCCCCACAACGCGGGACAACCCACTTTTTATCTGGTCTTGTTGGCTTGCAATTGCCACCAACTTTTCTGCATATAGTCATGTCACAGCGCCATGGCATCTGAGTTCTTTCAAAGAATGACAGCTTAAATCATTGGTATATGCATTATTAAGCTCTTAGTTCATTTAGGTCATCGGCGTTTATAAGTTCCGACGCAATCCTCGGTCGAGACATCACTTCCCCAGTCTCCGTTCTGCAGGTAAAGTCTGTAAGTTCCCAGTGTGTGTGTGTATGAGTGTATAAATAAATAACCAGAGAGGTGCCTCGGATAGATTCCTGTGACTTAGGTTTTTGGCCAGCCTTCCTCCTCTTCCTCTTCCTCTTTTCTCCCTCTTCTTCTTCTTCTTCTTCTTCGTCTTCCTCTTCATCATCATCATCATCATCTTCTTCTTCTTCTTCTTCATCCTCTTTCTCTTCGTCGTCGATGGAGCTCTATTTTCCTGCCGCATCAAAGACTACAGAAACAAATTTAGTCTTACGTGGCATTACTGTAAAACAATAACAATAATAAATTGTTGCAGAAAATAATTATAACTATGAGTTATAATTGCTATAATATGCAGGTATGATGAGTTTTTCAAACGATTCCAAGGGAAAAAAGTGCATTGCAGATCATTTAGGCTATGGAAGCACGTATGTTTCCGATGATAATGGAAACAAAACATCAAAGGGCCGGAAAAGCAGCATAGGAGATCATTTAGGTTATGGAAGCACTTATGTTTCTAATAATAATGGAAACAAACCATCAAAGGGAAGCAGCAAAAAGCTGACCATAGGCGACCTGATGGGCTATGGGGAGAAGCCACCTCTGACCAACAAGTAAACAATGATTCTCCATCATCACTCCATTATCACCACCACTCCGACCTCGTCTTGTTGATTCTCAAAGCTACTATTTGCATGTTTCCCTTCGTGTCATGCTGCTTGTGTGTTGTTGTTTATGTAATATCATTTTCCTTTTGCTACTTTAATTAACAAAGTCATGTGCTGTTACAGTGTGTTTCTAGGTTTTACTTACCTGGAGGCCTCCAATGGTTGAGAAAATGAGAATCAGTTTAACAGAACACATACACTCTCTCTGTCTCTGTCTCTGTCTCTGTGTCTGTGTCTTTTCATGGACTACGGGAATATCATATTGCGAGCACAAGCAGGGACAATCGTTGATTATTCTCACTTTTTTACATGAGGGGGTCGCAGCGGGGAGATCATAGAGGGAAAGAGGAAGACGTTTAGTTTAGTTTTGGAGAAATTCTCTTACACCCACATATAAATGTTAGATGAAAAATTATATATTGTTCAATTGTTGTGTTATAATTTTTAGACTAAAATGGTTTCTGCTTTTTTATAAATTATAATTTTTGAATTACTAAAAATATGATTCGGTGGGGGGATGTGACAAGACAATCCTAATCAAAATCATTCCCTAGCTACCAATTACCATCTGATCATTAAATCCACGAATTTATTACTATACACAATCCAATACAATTGATAGTTTCTAAAAATTAGAGGAAAACATACATTACATAAAGAAATATAAATTTCAGATGTAAATGTTTCTAAACCTATAATTTGCTTATAATTTTTTTTCTTTTAACCCTCATTTGTTTTGGTAAAATATTACATGTTCATCGTTTAACATGACAATTGATATACATACTATCTATTTCTTAGCAATACTTTAAAAAGTTAAAATTTTATTTATAACACGCCCAAACGATGTCGACTGGGTCTCGTTTTCGACTTTATAAAATAAATACTAACCGGCCCACCGGGGTTGTCACAGATAAAGACAATTAAAGATCAAATTCTTCAAATAAGTAATAATGAAGATCTGTGGTCCTTAAATGTCAGGGATGGAGAAGATGGTGCACGGACATGAGAAAATTTTAGAGTAGATTGGGTGCACCACGTCATTTGTGGTTTGTTTAATAAAAATATGATATTTAGATATCATTAAATATAAATTAATAATGATATCAATAATAGTAGAGGGATAAAAGTAAAAATCAAATGTGAATTTTGTTATAAGAATAAAATTAATTAAAAAATGCCACACAAATTTTTTTAAAATTATTTAAAACATTTTAATTGGACAGACGATAAATAATACTCCTTCTATTAAAAAATATAAGGCATTTTTAATTGAATCTCATTCTCAATAAAATAATTATCTACTTTGAAACTAACCCTATCTTTTTATATTTACCCTTATTAAATACTCTATAATAAATATAAAGTCATTCATCAAAAAAAACTTTTAAAAAAAAGCAATAATTATACCTCAAAAAATTAAAAATATCTTATAACTTTTAATATTAAATTTTTTAAAAATATTTTATATTTTTAAATAAAGGAAGTATGAAGTATACGATCTATTTATATATTTTTGTATGGATACATGACAATGGTAATGGATACGACAATGATATTAAAAAAAGTAAAGAGAGAATGACGTCATGCTTTTTAGTTTTGGACTTTTGGTTCATGGACACCCTCCCACGCTTCCGTTGTGCTCTGTTTCATTTTTCCCACAACGAAAGGCATTCCAAAACATTGGTAAGGTCATCGTTAATAATATTAATCGCATACAACTGGTATTTGGATTAGTTTGGATACTAGGTAATAATATTTTTAAGTTTTGCAAGATATCAGGCAAGTCCCTAAATACTATTACATACTATCTTATTTTTAAATTATAAGACAACTTTAGAGATATTTTATCTATCTTTATATATAATATTTTAAAAAAATTATTTGTTCCTAAAAAAAGAAAGTGCCATGATATTTTTGAATAGTTGGACAATTTATCCCTATTGTTTTTAAAATGAAAGTAAATATTAATTGTGTGCTTTACCAACCATCAATAAATTAATTGTGATATTATTATGGACAAAATGGACAAATTGTTGTGGTTTAACATGCTTTCAACTAGATAATAAATTTTTATTGGTATGCAGGATTTATTTAAAAACACGTCATATATATAGGGATGTGGGAAGTATTTTATTGTCTCAAAATAAAAAATAATTAGATGAAAATAAAATTTTATTAATTATACTTTTTTAATATTACCCTTCAACTTCAAGTGGAGAAAAAATTGAAATGACTGTAGGGTAATAATTAAATGTGTAGATTCAAAATTATATTAAATGAATAACATTTTTTGAAATTTTATGTTTTTATTTAAAAAAATAATTGATAGTTTAAAAAGTGTTATTATTGAACTTTACTCTCTGGACTAAAATATAGAACTTTGGTAAGTAAGTAGCTAATTCATAATTTTCAAAAAATTTAATTTTTTTAATTTAACTCTAATTAAATACTTTATATAAGTGTTTTGATAATAATAATTAAAATTTTAATATATTATTTTTAAAAAAATAATAAATAAAGTAGAGATATAATTAAAAAATAATTATAAAAATTATTAAATATTTTATATTTTGAATCAAGTAAAATTTTTAATAAATATATTATATTGATCTGGAGAGAGTATGTTTATATGTAGTCGTATCCTATAATTAGGATTCGCATTCAGCACCGCATGCTTATATCAAGGACATAGATCATTTTGAATTAAAACGAAGGGCTAGGATCACTCAAATGAGTGATGAGACCGAATGCGCATCTCTAGTTCCCTATAACTAGGGATGAAGGGAATAATGATTATTGCATCTCTTCAGGCTTGACTGTTGATGGTTTTTACATTTCTCAAATAATCATATCCCTTTTTTTCTTCTTTTTCCCAGAAGATTATTTATTATTCCAGAGTTGTGACCGAAGAATGACAAGCCCTCCTATTCTGTGCCAAAAAGAGAAAGAAGTGACGCACGTGTACACCCTCTGATCACCTGCCGCGCCAAAGATAAAAGAAGATGCAAGTCACGTGATGATGCCTTGATTTTTTTTATAGATGCAGACCAGGAGCCCCTCTTCATTATTCTCGGTGAAAAGTTTTCATCATTATAAATATTTCATGGAAAATAACCCACCCTTTCTTAATTGATTTATTAAATGATGATCAATGTGAATGAGAAAATTTGATGGCCAGCGAGTGATCTTCATTGCGCTGTCCACTCATTCACGAAGTCCTTGACGACAACGACCACAAGGTTGGCAGGCTGGTAGGCATAAGTGGGTCTGTGGGTGAAAGAGTGAAAAAGTGTGAAGAATTAATTAATTCTAATTAAACAAAAAGAAAATACGTGGCAAAGACCAAATATTACTGGGGTGGGGGCAGAGGGCTTTGCTTTTGTGGGGCCCTTCAAAGATTCGGTGCTCATTGGCGATCATCATCTTCGATGACAGTTCAGATTTAAATGATTCATTTTTTCTATTTTCGTTTTTATTTTTATTAAAATAAAATTTGTAAAATATTTAATAAATCTATTAATTATCAATCATCATATTTAATCAGATAATTTCAAATTTAATATTATTTTTTATAACTTTTATAAATCAATTATACAGATTTATTTTGAATTATCCATATTTAAAATTTTTAATTTTTTTTTAAATAATTAGAAAGATCCAGTTAAGAGATTATTTTTATTTTTAATATTATATTTACTAAAATAAAAATTATAAAAAAAATTAATGTTGAACCTAAGCTATTGATAAAAAAATTTGGATAATCAATTTATAAAAATAATAAAAAAATGTAATATTAAATTTGCCATTGGTCATCATCATCATCAGCCACAGAAAGAGAGAGAGAGGTCTAATCGATCAACTGATTCTTATTTTACTCCATCGGAGGCCTCCATGTAAGGCCAAGGAACACACTGAAACCGTTGAGCAATTAAATCTCAGTTAATTATTATTCGTTTTATATATGATGAACCATCTAGAAATGAGAGAATAAGCTTTAATTAACACACACATATATGACTTGGAAGTTGAAGAATTAAATGATGAATGTGAATGAGATAATTTGATGGCCGGCGGGGGATCTTCACTACGCTGTCCAATCATTTACGAAGTCCTCAACGACGACGACGCGACAAGGTCGGTGGGCGCAAGAGGGCGAAAGAGTGAAAAGCATAGGGAATTAAATTAATTAATGCTAATCAAACACGGAAATAAACAACAAGAAAATACTTCTAGCGCAGACAAAATATTACGAGGGTGGGGCAAAGAACAAAGATGTTATCAACAACGACGTTTTTCCCCAGTAAAATCTAGGGCTTTGCTTTAGTGGGGCCGTTTAAAGATTATGCTACGAATCCGGTTTCATTTCGGTGCTCCCGGTAACTGACGTCGATGGCCCATGTTTATATTTTGTTTTACTTTTGTATATTTCAAAAAAATTATTTTACTGGATACAGAATTTAAAATAAAAATAATTGTTAACTGTCACGTAATTTAAAAAAAATTATGACTAAAAATTGTAAATAATTTAGAAAGTCTTAGTGATGAGCATAAAAAAATTGGATTTATTATAAATATTATGTTTGTCCTTAACTCCTAACTCTTAAAATTCTTTTATTTTTAATGTTCTAATAAATTACATAAAAGGAATTTCTAATTATTAACAGTTTATAACTTTCAAAGGCCACATAATGCATCATTATATGCCTCTTTATATCTTTATATAACATTAGAATATGATTTGAATAGTTGGAGGTCTATAAATAGAGGTTATTTTCAAAACTTATTTACCCTAATAAATAAGAATTCTCCTTCATCATTTTGTCTCTCATTTTTGATATTGTCTTATTTTTCTCTGCTCTTCATATTAGCAATATTTTATAACAGGATTAAATTTGTCGGGGACTCTTTTTTGCCTTGAACTGGTCCATGTTTGATGTATATATAAATCACAGATCACTTGTGAGCTCTTCATAGGACACGCACGCCGTGAACAAGTGGGGAAGCAATTCTCGTCAGGTGCCACTTCACCAGTCTCCGGCCTTGCAGGTCAAGTCTAAAAGTCCCCTGTATATGTATAATCAAATATCATATCTGTATTCGTGTCATTATTTTCTGCTATGATTTCTTCTGTTACGTACGGAAACTCGTGCCTGAATTCTCCTTTGTCGTGTACATACATACATACAAT